TGATTTATTAATACGTTTAAGTTTAACTACACATGTCAAACACGTATATTGTATAATCCGTAACGGTGTGAATCCAAAAATCATTTGTGTTGAAGGATATTTTTTTTCAACTTTCCATTGATATAGGAATAAAAAGCGAGTGTTTTTTGAAGATTTATATTTTAACTTTGATTGACTTTGCGTTCTAAAAATAATGACTGTCAATTATTATAATAATAAGCACAATTTAAAATGATAGGGTTACAAAAATATTACAACAAAAACTGTCATTGAATACGTATATCATAACATAATAATTATTTCAGTAAGTGAAAAAAATTATTATATATAAACTTAATTTTTTGTTTCAAATCCATAATACTTTTTTTGTAAATAACAACGTCTCCTAAAGTCATTAAGGACGTCTSACGGTTACGTTTTATTCACTCTACATTCAAGCTAGCACAATGCCACTTTATTCTTGCCTAATTGTTTCCTCTTAATGAGAAGAATATCTGGGTTAACTAACAAATCACTTTATACGCAGACATTTTTGTCTTTGACGTTCTCAGATGTCGAACCAGATTATAATAATTGTGTCATAACCAAAACTCAAAAGAATTATTCACATTATTAGTATTATGGTTTTGATCTATATAACAATATATCAATGATACAGTTAGTAACATAAAATATCTTAAAATTGAAATGAAATTTTCAATTATAAATTAATAAATAATTACAGTGGACATTAGTAGGTACACAGTTAATTTCTCAAAATAAAAATTGTGCTAAAAATGCACAACTTAAACTACATAAATAAAAAACTTAATATTATAATTTTTTATGACTTATTAATTTTGTATACATTTCAAATGTTGTTGATCTGTCTAAGTCTAAAGTGAAATTGGTAAACTATAAAAAAAATGTACAGCTTAGCATTTTAATTTTAAAAATTAAGAATTTAAAAGAATAAAATTGTGAGAATTTCATTAAAAATAAATATTTAAGATGTACAACAGAACAATTTCATTTTTTAAATAATTTAAATCAAGTAGGTAAACTGTAGTTATACGACAGCAAATTAGTTTTCTCTTTTCTAAATTAATTTACACCATAAAAATAACATGCGTAGTTACAAAAATACCAGTTTTATGTAAACATAGTTGTAAACTATAAAACTCATTAAGACTTGTCGAATTTTAATGACCCGTGCTGAGAGTCAAAGTTGTTTAATACAGTGTAGAAAATCATACTCCAGTAATTATCTTAGTATTTACCTATTATATGATGAGGTACTTAATTGATAATAATAAATCATAAAAACAAATATTTTACAACACTGAATCAAATGAAAATGAATACATTTTAAGTAAAAGTAATCAATAATTTAGAAGATACTATTTTTTTTTCAGAATAATCTTCATTTGTTATAACATTATTTTTTTTTAATGTAAAATTAAATTATAAGATAAAAGTTGCTATAGCTTAAAATTTTTAATTCATCTATAAAATTCCGATTTCCGGAGAAATTGACTATCTTGACTTATAATTGTATTTGAAGTTTCGGGCTAAGCATTTCAAATATTTGTGGAATAATTATATATTTGTTATTAAGTATATTATCTATATTGATGTTTTAATTATTAAATTCTTTGTCATTAAAAATAAATGTATCTATGTCGTAGTAAAATTAATTATTGATCGACAATTATTAAAAAATCTCGTTCATTTTGGATTAATAACTTTCTACGCTTAGTTTTTACACTGATATATTTTTATATAACTGAGTGCACTACAGAAATATTATAATTATAATAGTCTCAAAATTAGGTATAATTCATATGAATACATTATTTTTATTTTATTCAAATTATCCTGAAGTTGCCCATGTGTGATCAATAGGGCTCGGATTTATATGTAAATACATTTTTTTACTGTGACTTGATAAATTAATTTAGGCAAGTGATAAATTCGTTTCAAGCAATTTCCAATGTAATGAACTATATTTTATTTTACATATTTTTCAATAATTCCATTTTTTCCTACGTATTCTGACAATTGGTTCATTTGCGATTTATTAATAATTATATACGATTGTAATTTTCAATACAAACAATTTCCCATGTTTCCAAAAATACGTAAACAAAATAATACCAATTATTGAACTAATCGACCGTAATCTATGGTCGATATAATATTATATTCGACATTTGTGATCTCGATAAATAATAGTTAATGATTTATTAATACGTGTTTGCTTTTGAAGTAAGTACTGACAGCGAGTCAGTATACCCACATCGTCGAACAGGACGTGTGTTTATTTAGACGTGTAATTTTGAGTTGGCCGCGTTAGTGTTAAATTATGCCGAAAGTCCGAGTGTCCAAAGTTGAAAAAGCTAAAAACTATGTACTAGAATTTCCAAACGAACATTTTCATAGTGATGGTGAGATTTTGTATTGTTCTGTGTGTGAAAAATCTGTGTCCATTGAACAACGTTTTTTGGTAGTACAACATATAGGGACCGCCAAACACATAGAGAGTAAAATAAGACGACAAAAATACAAACATCAGTTTTTTGCTTCCCCAACTTCTTCAGGTAATAAAAACTCGTTTAATTCCGAACTTTGTCGTGTTTTTATACATACGAATATTCCAATCTCCAAGTTGGAAAATAAATCATTGAATGCATTTTTAACAAAGTATACGGGTCAAATATTTCCTGAGCAGAGTACTCTTAGGAAAAATAACATGACAGAAATTTACCAGGAAACACCTAATTCGCTATTAGAAACATCATTCAAGATGGCCCTATATGGGTTTCGATCGACGAAACAGTAAACGKTGAAGGTAGACATGTTGGAAATGTTATTGTTGGAAATTAAGTGAAACCTTTTTTAAACCATTTTTATTAAATTGTGCACAGTTTGAAAAATGTAACCACAAAACCATAGCCAAACTATTAAACGATTCGATAAGTTTATTATGGCTAAAAGGTGTGAAACACGAAAATGTATTATTGTTTTTAACTGATGCAGTGCCATATATGGTGAAATTGTCCGCAGTTGCAATTAATGTATTTTACCCAAAGATGATTCACTTGACATGCTTAGCCCATGAACTTAATAAAAACTTAATAGMATTKGAGAAACCATTAGAGCTACATTTTGTAAAGTAGACAAGTTAATTGCTGAGGTAAAAAAAAATATTTTTAAAAGCTCCAAGTAGTGTAGAAAAGCTGAAAGAAATGTATCGAAATTTGAGTCTTCCACCAGAACCAATAATTACTAGATGAGGGACATGGCTTATCACTGATAAATGATAATAATTAAGAAAGTTAAAACTATGAACAAGACGTAAATACCTACAGTTGAATGCAGATGCATCGTTAATGCATTAATGTTGAAAATGAAAATGTTTTGATAGGATTTACACACAATAAGATATACTTTTAGTCGTGAAAGACATATTTTTAAGCACTCACGGATGTGAAAATATTAATGTTTTTTAAAACGGCGTGTAATTTAGGTATTTTAGTAATACAAATAATATTCTAGACCATGTTWAAGCATATAAGACATAACAACGTTCAAATATCTCAAACAAATTATAATTTCGCTTCCTTTTTTACATAAAACTTTTCTCAATTAAAAATAGTTTGTATTTTGTATTTAACTGCAACAGTTTTTTTTAATGTACAACAGTAATAAGTATAGCAAAACAATTTTTTATGGAATGGAAATTCTATTTAGAATCAATAATCAAACACAATATAAACCCAAACCTATATGAATCGATTCGACCAGAGAGCATATCTCAATATCGACATATTCGAGCAAGTTCATCTCCTTCTTTTCAAAGAGCTCAGGCTGGATAATCAAATTTAAAAATCAGTATTTTTTAAATATACATATTTATTGAAAATTATAAATGTTATGAAAAAAAAATGCATAATGTTATGTTTAAAGTTTAAGCGTTATACAAAACGTAGAAAAACTTATAGCCTTTGCTGCTGAAACTTAATTATAGATCAATAACAACTAACAAATAATTATGTGATATATAAAATACGAACAACGCTTACACACTCGCGAAAGTACCGTAAAATGATAGAAAAAACCTATAATCAAAAACAAGTGGTCTACGTGCAGTGTACAGATTTAGAAGTCATATAATATGGCGAAGAAGATTTTACACATATCCCGTCAAAACACCTTCCTATACGGAATACGAGTATAATACTCGTATAATATTATTATAATTTTACTTATAATAACATATTATAACTATATTACGTTAAATTAAATTATCTGATGATTAAAAGTCGGACGACGACTTTCGCGATTCATATAATATAGGTACTAAGTATGTAGGTATATTTACCTAAACGATATGGTATGTGCACGGTACAGAAATAGCGTGAACGAATCGCTCAAGGTCGAAACGGATTTCTCGAAGGGATTCGACGCCTCGACGTCCGGCTCCGTCACGCCCACTAGTCACGACGGCGGTCGGTGGCGGCGCCAAACTCTCGGCATCAGTGGAAAAAATATTACATGAAAAATGTCGAGTCTCCGAAATCGAAACGATGATAAGATATTATGTTATATTATACCTACCTACATAGGTTTAGRCGCGCGGCACGCGTGCCGTCCACGAAGGGGAAAGTGTCGGGGAAATGGAGATAATGTAGGTAGTAGGTATCGTGATGATAATATAATATATTTTCTCAACGCGCGACTCGTATGGGAAGAATTGGCCGGAAGGAAGGGAAAATCGGTGGTACCTATTATATGGCTGTAAGTGATATGCGTATATGGTTGTAGGAGAAGAGAAAAAAGCGCGTTCGCGTGTAGTCTGACAAAATGGATGGTAATATTGCAATATTATAATATTATACGCGCGCGTCCTGCCGCCGCCGTTTACCTGTCGCCGTCGGGGTGGGAGGCGCGGCCGTCTCGCGGAGACGGGTAAAAACCAGGATGGCTTGCCCGGCCGGGTATCACTCGTCCGCGAACGACCGACGGTCGTCGAATACGCCGAATAATATCCGCGTCGCTTCGATAACTTCATAATAATATATTATTTACGATATTATATTAATTATTATACATATACCTAAGTTATTTCCGTTATCGAGCACATAATAATATAATATTATCATACCTGCGACTTATCGTAGTCGTTTGTTGAACGATATTAAATTATTATATAAAAAAAAAAAAAACTGTAGGTCCGAATGATATCGTGCACGACCCGCGACCAAACACAGACCGCCGACGACTGACATCGCTCCCTGTGTTGTAGCAGTGATACGATCCCGGAATTCTACACACGACATCCACATCAGCAACAGGTGAGTACAGCTGCTGAGCTGCAAGCGTTCAGCCAAACTAAATAAAAGATATATTGTTACATTATTATGTGATCTTTGTAATTAATATGAAAATGTAGATAGGTACCAATATTATGTTATGAAGGCATAGATTAGATTACGTATGAGTTTGTCTGTACCTAGTAAATATTTTGAATTCGGAATGATACTAGGCTGGCGTCAGCCCAGCACCCGAAAAAATAAGACATCGATTTAGGAAGGTTAAGATTTAGATTAAAAATCATTACAACTTGTTTACTAAATTTTTAGTAGAATTGGTTTCATTTCGGGGTAGGTACCCGGCTGRCGATTGATGGGCCCTACATTGGAACTCGTGTACGGTTTTCGTCTACGACCACCAAATCCTTTATAGGCGCATTTTCGTTTTTAAAATCCGTTTTTGTTTACAATTAACGTGATTAAATTTTATATGGCTATAAGCACTTCAATGTATTTCGATCCGAATCCACCAATGTACCTTAGTGTATGCATTATGCAGGTAATCAAATTAACATGATCCATATAAACCCGTGTACGGCGATCTCCCACGACTCGCTTACATATTATTATTATTATTATTATTAATGTACCTATACGCGTGTTACGTCGACGCAGATAAACGTGAGCAATCAATCCATTGCGATGATATAGTGATAGGTACACAACACTTATATACATGTAGGTACTATCGAAACCGACGCGCAGTCAAATTCCTTACGTATATGATGGTAAGTAAAATCAAAATAATATTTCGGTCAGGGCTAAAATAGTAAAATATATATAAATACGTTATGTGTGTTTGTATACTTAACGCGCGCGAATATTACAATATTATTATTAAGAGGCTTACTATGTAATAAATCGAGGGCCGCGTGACGAMAACCGACTGCGCAGGTTAAACAGAAAATTTACTGAATTATACATAAAACTACCTATTATACGCGGATATTATTATGGCACACATTGGTAACCGTGTATTTAATTTTGCAGACATTTTAACAATTACAGAATTCAAAAGTATAATCGTGAGCATTAAATAAAATCCCGCGCAGATAATAAATATGTKTGCGTTTAATAGTTCATTGTTTTAAAAAGTTATTTACTCTTGGTGACTTCGACCAATATGGGTATAGTACCTAGTATATAGTGTTTGTTTTCGACGAATGGAAAAGCCATGTAGGCACAAACGTATTATGCGCGTTTTATCCACTGYCGTCGATGTCTATTATATAGAAAAAACATACAATATCTATGTTATTTTATGACTACAACTAGATATATGAAATCGTTGAAATCTTAACAGTCATTAGTATCCTTCGATCGTCCTTCTTTTTATTTTATCTTGTAAATAATAATGTAATATTATGCGTGTATGACATAATATAATAGGTACATATTTTAATGAGCTTATTGAGTATACAACTATTTTTGTGCTTTACTAAATACTTTTCTCAAACGATCTATTGTTTTTAAATCATATTACGTAATTTCATAATTTTTGTTATTTTGCATTATTGAGTATAATAGAACATTATGGTGTGGCCCGATGAAACGCKCGCAACTGAGTGTACGCACCACCGGTGAATTATGTAAAGTAAATAATTGTGTACAACTCTATGGTTTATAAATATTAAAAACAATATTATTAAATATACTTTTAAACGTCTAAAAGTAAATTTCMAAAAAAATAAATTAATTTGCTATATTGTTCAAGTTTGATAATAATATTGTAACTAATTATATTATAGTATAAATATTAATTTAAAACAATCGATTTTTTAGATAAAAAATTATAATGTTATTCCGAAATAAACATAAAAATTACAAACTTTTACTTTAAAATAAAATTATCTTAGAAAAAAAACACATCACCTATTTTTGATTGTTTATTGCAAACTCGCAACGGGAAAGATTTTAATTCTATATTCTGTTTTTTGTGTGTCTGTCTGTCAATTTTGATATGAATCGTACCAATAGTTTTTTCCACTTCTACATGATATGTAATACATGCATACTGCATATTATTATATATACGTGATTATAAATTTGTTATGACGATGAATATTTTTTCTTTTTATTATAATATACATTTTACAGCGTGTCCAAACGTCTATTCATATTGATTCAATATATGTTTAATAGTCCAGTGTGTCATTCCACTCGGATAAATTGCATTAAGGTGTCTTCTGTTTTAGTGATATTCGTGATCTTGTATTGATCTAAATGTAAGCTGTATTCGTCTGATTCGAGTATTGAAGACGCGTGAGCGTTTTCGCCTACATATTATCATATTCTTTCTAGCGTACCTACTCTCGTAACAGTATAATATAGAGTAGGTATATTGTCGAAAATGATAATTCGCTCTGATCAAATTTCATGTTATGTTAATATAATATATCATATAATTTAACCAAAGTATTCTAAATTAAAAGTATTTGATTTGGCTTAATTTTAAAAAGTTCTTTGTGTACCTATGATATTATGAATATGCCTACCATGATACTCGCAAGTGTAAAAATAAAAGTGAACCGTAAAACGACACCCAGATGTCACATGCAAAAATGAAATTATATTTGTAACTGCACAGAGAAGCACTTAGGTATAACAATATTATAATAATTTGACTTTTCGCATCAGTTACCCAAATGTGAAAGTATAACGCTAATTTTCGCTTTGAAACCCTATACTCACATCACCGTTTAAACGCCATTAAAATTTTCTTTTTTTCCAATGTATAACTGAACACTGGTGTAGCAAAAATTTAATTAATATCGAACAATGCAGGCTATAATAATGATAATATTAATATTATTATATGGTAGTGAATTAATTCGACTAGCTAATAGCAGTATAATAAGTTTAAAATTAGAATAGTCTTCGACGCTTTGACACGGTACTGTGGTCGTCGTAATTAGATAATCTTAATCGTCAACGACATGGATTTACCACCACTATACCATTTGTATATACGACCAGTAAAGTTTATTGTTACTCGACGAATTTTTTAGTCAACTATACAGTTACAACGTCTAATACAAATCGATTATCGGTAAAGTCTTTATAGACACCACTCACACCCCTCACACCAATCACGCAGCGTGGCGCCGCGGATAACAGCTACTCGTACATGGGAGATTTATAGGTGGTGCCTCATATATACACACAATTATATACCTATAATATAATATAGTAACCTTGTTCTTCACTCGTTCCACTGTCCAAACACGGTGGACAGGTTAGGTTTCGACTTAACAATAATAATCTATAACTGAAATCTAACTCGATTTATTTATAATAATAATTAAGGTTTAGCGTTCACTGGCGTTTTACATAGTATACTATCCCCGAGATTTCAATCGTTTTCAGCTATTCGATGAGTTGTAGCCTACAACTTGTAGGCATATTATATTATTATTATTATTATTATGAGTAGGTACCTAATGAAATAAAAGTATAAAATTACATTTKTACAAACGGACACAACAAAATATAATAATGTATAACAATAATGCGGTCAGATCTAGTTTTTATTTATTTTTTTTTTTAAATCACTCGATTTTCGAGTGAAAGTATAATAGTGCATTCTGCGCTGCTTATCCCGTGCACGCATATTGTCATTATTATATTAACCGTATGTGTATACAACAATTGTGTATCATGTATCCGAACACCCATGAATATATCCATTTACACTCTCTAATTGCATTATAACTCGGACGAATTTTCCATACGCATGTTTTCGTATACATATCATATACATATGGCCGACTGGTACGTATGATGTGTATACGCTACCTGTATAGATTTAAGATTATTATTGTTTCCCTCGTAATAATTTCACTTTTCACTACGYCTGCATGTAGTTGCCTGCCCTTAACCGTCGGACGCGATCGCTTTCTACGTATATATGCGCTCGCCATATAAGTGCATAGCATGTATATATTATGTATTTAAGTGTATAATGTACAATACTATATGTACCTATATCTAATATGGTACGCGCGTGCATTTGGAGTAAATTGTTTTTCGGCTGGTATGATGGGCGATGACGGCATATTAGACGTCCGCCTGAAAGTATTTTTCGGAGTTCCCCGCGCATCGTCTCYGGGTATGTATAGATTATAACTTAGGCACTTACCTCAAATATAATACCTATGTGCGGACTGCATAGCCACCCAGCGTGCATACCTGCACACACGTACATTTCAGTATAATATAATATATATATATATATATATATATGCGAAACAATATAGTCGTATTCGTATTCAACCGTACACAAACTTTTTCGGCGGTTTCACATTTATATACCTAAGTATTTTTTCGTTTCTTACGTTATGCCGCTGTGGTTAAAAACCCGAAGAATAGCATCTGACCCAAATCGTGGGCAACCAGACGCCACGCACAAAARGGAGATGCATGCGAGAAATGTACTTGTCACACGCGATCTCGCGTCGATTACGATCTACCATGATATCTATAGTTAGTATATATGTGTACGTATAATATATGAGGTAGGTACCTACACGTCGATCGTTTAAAATAATWATAATTGTGCGTTTCATAAAGTCCATACAACGGTATACGTGGATGAAAGAGTCGAACGATTTTTRCGTAAGGCCGTATAACACGGCTCGTTAGTAGTTATATGCTTATATTATATAACTACATATAACTAACATATATAACCTATTATATGTATACATGGTCATTGGTCATGAAAGTTTAAAGGGTAGTGCCAATATGCGAATGGGCACACACTAGTTGCCTCCCGATGTCAAAAAGACCCATAATTTTTATACGAATTGCCTCCCGACTATATATACGAGTTGCCTCCTAAATCGTATCCTAACTCGTAGGTAACTCGTTAGGTAACTCGTACTCTAAATGTTATCATAAATGAGAAGAATCTAGTACTAGTTGCCTCCCATTAGTTATATTAAAATAATTTTCATTGATACCCAAATAAAAAAGCTGAGTGG